GGGGGGGGGAGGGGGGGGGGGGGGGTCAGAGAGCGGAGGGAGGGAGGGGGGGGGAGGGGGGGGGGGGGGGACAGAGTTGCTCCGCCATTAAGCGGGCAGCGGAGGAAGTGACAGAGGAGAGACGACGTCTGTGTAAAAGCGACAGCCGGCACGGCGGAACTACACGCGCACACACATTAGACGCCAACGCTGTTGTGTTACACGTCACGACTCTTTTGCTCCCAGAATGCCGGCATGCTATCTAAAATCCCACACTGGGGTGACATTGCTGCTTGGTTCAGTGTAAAAAAAAGGCAAAGCCGTCGCGATGCCGGATCTGCCTTAACTTCTTTATGGTGGAATCTCTGTGTGAAACTGGCTTATGTCAGTTTAGTCCTCGGTACAAGTGCCATGATGTGAAAGAAAAGCTCCATTGTTAACTTCTTGATGTCTTCCTCTAACGAGGTCATTATATTGACGCACTCACTTCCCTTCCTGGATAAAGCCTACTGCCCACTCTTTTGACAACGCAAAACACAAACAATGACAAACAATCATTTTCTACGCTTTTTGACTTGACTAGCAATGTTCATTAAAGATTGTGAGAGCCCACCTGGTCCTGCAGGTCATAGTCATAACTGTCATGCAGGAGAAGGCTGAGGACGTAGCGGGTGTAAATCATGGCATCAATCCCGCACTTCTCAAGCTCCTGGCCAAGCCAGCTTTGAACTGGACCCAGCGACTGGAGCAGGGACATCTCCGAGGCAGGCAGGGGGCCCACGAGGGGGTAGGGGCAAGAGAGGTTTTCAGGAGGAGCAGGACCGTCTGAATCGGTGCTCACGGGACGCATAGGACCTCAGGTGTTGGCCATTCTCAGGTGAAGCAGCATTGTGATGGGTAGTTACTGTCGGGTGGTCGGTGGAGAAGGGTACAGAGAGAGGACGAGGCAGAACCTTGGGAAGAGGGGGCAGTCACTCCAGCAGGACGCACTGAAGGGGCTCTACATGGGGAGGCATGTAGGATGGTGTTTTTTTTTATTATTGCTTTGAGCAAAAAGGGGATTTTACTCGTCAGGCATGGCTTGTGCTGCTGATAGATCTCAGCTGCTGAGCAAAACACGGGACGTGTTTGCGTCTCAGTCGGAAGAGTCCATTGTGGGGCTTCGTCTTACTTCAACGGCACAACCTGAAACAGAGCAAATAATTATCAGTTTCACTGCGATATTTTCAATGCTCAATGCAAGCACTTGAAAAGAAAGAAAAAAAAAAAAAAAAAAAAAAAAAAAAAAAGACATGGTCAAAGACCTTATACACAACCCCGACACAGAACCAAACAGAAGGAATCAAGGCGTCTTTATATTAAAAGATGCATGAAGGGATGATGGAAATGATATTTTCCATGATTTAAAAAAAAGGGAGACAAACAGTAAGACAAAAGCTCATACAGATCCTACCACGGCATATAAATCTTGTTCCTTCTCCCAAAGGATGTAGCCTGTTCATAGCCTTGCTTACCAGCATGTTAATGGGCTCCTTAGAGAGCATGAGCTCTTTAAATAATGTAGACAGCAGTCACAATCATGATCACACATTATGGTGGTAAGCCCTGTGTAAAGTGAGTAACAGGTCAACAGGGCGATGTGCGTTATTGAAGTTTGAGTGCTTAATGAGCCTCCTGTTAAGGACATACAATGTAACACAAGAAAGTGATAGGCCATATAAAACACCTGGATGACAGCAAGGTTTTATAAAACTCCTACAACAGGAAGCACCACTTATTCCCTCCCCTTACAACCACAAAAAAAGAGCTGCATAGTTTAATTTGAGAGCAATAAAACCAAATACGTCCTGGGTTAGTAGCCATGGCAAAACAAGAACCAGCGAACCCCAGCGGTTGGGTATAACAGTGGGCACCGGGCAGGGGAACCCTTGCTGTCAAATTAATGAGTTTAGTTTAAGAGCAGCGAATTAGGGAACCGACATGAAGAGCAAATGGAGGCTGCGCCAATTTGATTGGCTGGCCCGGTCGTAACTCATCAGTTGGATATTAAAGGCTAGCCATAGAGGCGTCAAAGAGGCAATAGTTATGTCGTATGCAACCATACTGTTTGAGCAAGCCTTCCGTAGAGGAATATTATCAGATAAATAAATACAGATGGACAACAGCTAAAAGGTTAGCTAGCTTCATCGCTAATTGCTCATGCTAAATATGGCTGACCAGTGTCTACAGCCCAGCTGTTCCTTGAACGCACACTAGCCCCGAAAGCTAGCTCCTGACTGCACTGTTCACATACCAACTTTATCACACAACCCGCGATTTAATGCGATTTCTCTGACATCGAAAGGAACGAGATAATGCAGTTTGTGTAGTGTTAACTTGCGGATTCGCCTACTTTACTTCGGGTACATGGTAACGCTGTGCAAACATGTAACGTTATGGATTAACGTCACTGACATTAGCGTTATATTGCTGGGCTATGTGCGGCAATGCAACCACAGAACAGCCAGGCGAAATCTTTAAGATAAAGTCACGTTGTTGGTGTCATTGTTGTGATGATTGACCACAGAGTCGGAGGTTAGGTGACTAACGTTGTTCTGACTCGTGGTACTAACGTCGGTTAGCTCGCGTCACAAGGTTAGCTGAACCAGCGACCTTTAACGTGAGCTAACGAGCTAAATTAGCCGAGTTAGTGAGGGCTAACGTCACTGCTGCTGTCAAACAGTTTATTAGGACGTTTAAAGTGAACGTTACTTGACATGCTTTATTTAGGTTAGACAGGATAGAGGAACTTGCGATCTAATTAATGTAATGCTAATAACGACGTCTATATGTATAGTTATATGTCGGTCAGGTGAATTGTTTCTATTCAGTGACATTAGAGCCCTGACGGGTCTCCATTAACTAGCTAGTTAACAGTTCACGTTAGCTAGCAAGCAGCAACACGTTTACGTCAGGCCAAGTCTAAACTTTCAGTCGGAAACGTAGCTAAAGTCAGGACCATATTTCAGAGATATAAATGTAAACGAACGTTAGCTAACGTTAGCTTTCTTGTACGCTTGTTGTTGTGATCGAGAGGAGGAGCGGCTGCTCCAGAGCACTGTCAGACGTTTCCCATCAAAATGTACGCCATATCGTCACACAGCGAAATAGTAAACTGCTTACAAACAACACTAAACGGGGACAAAAACACCACAGTGCGATAAGAAACCTGCCGGTCCACTGGTGTACCTACCTGCCGTGGGCTGAAGTAAAGAAGAGCGGCTATTTCTCTCCCGCTGCCGTTCCGAGCTCGAGCTCTGGAATCCGCTGCGGTAGCATCGCGTATCATGGACGCCGACAGAAATGGCGCTGTTTTTCACTTCCAGTGCTGCTTCAATAGCGTCAAGGAAACCGGCGACATTTCGGCTCAAGCTAGCGGAAGGTCATTCGTCGATGACACTTAATACCCAGAACCACAATGTCCGCTATCGAAAATCCTGTTTCATTCAGAGAAGGACTCCCGAATGCGCCACCCTCCGCGTTCGTATCTAGGCAACAAGGCGAACCTCTGCCGTCCTATTCGTTTAGGTTTGATTCCTCCGCCAGGGTATTGCATCAGAAGCCCAACTAGTACTTATCATTTATACTGTATTCAAATGAGGAATGACATTGAGGAGATTAAACTCAGCTCTGAAATTGAATTAGTGATTAAATCCTAGCTCTTTTAAATTTGTAAAAATAAAAACACAAGCACAAATAACTCTTGTCTCGTATGTGTATATCTACAAAATACACATAACAATATTGTTACAGTTGAAAATTGTTTTTAAATTACTGTCATTATTATTTACTCCACAAAGTATGAATTATGAATTATTTTCATATAAAGTTATTATGCTTCATAACACAGAGTACATACCTTATCAACATAATCAACAAAATGTATAAATTAAGCAGAAATAACATTTCTGTGCAATTTTGCCATTTGACTACAGCTTTGAGTTTTCAATATCTTGCACAAACTGAATCAGTAATAATCATCCTTAAAAAAGGCAAATTTTCAGTTAAAGTTTTGACAAAGCAACCATACATAAACTGATTTAAGATTTAATTTAGTATCACCAGGGCCTTCTATTCTTTATTATGAACCACTGTTTAAAGCAGAGTTGTAGCTTTAATTTTCATAAAGAAGCAATACCATCGCTAATGTCAGTACTGCTTTTGTAATTTAAAAAAACCCTCTCTCCCTCTCGAAGCCTCTCGGTTGCCACTAACGACGAAGTGTGTATGTATGTTGGGGATGGTGCTCATTCTTTACACTCAGCACCTGCCCCTAATCAAGGGTCCATAGTGTGGCACACTTCATGTGTCCTCCGGCCCCTGGGGTTATGACCTCTGGGACGAGATGAGTCGAGGCCTATTGCACGGCTGTATACTCCTGGCACCACACACACACACACACATACACACACGCTTCATTAACAGATGTTATCTTTAAGTGTATGTGGGGTGAGTAAAGAGAGAGCAAAAGAGGTCAAGACAGGAGTGTGTGGAGTCTGTGCCAGCACAAAACTACAGTTCCCAATTATGAGTTCTGCTTTTGATCTTTATCGGAAGCCAGAGCAGTGCAGCCAAAGGCCAAACACAAATTGACTGTCTGCAACACTGAGGCCTGATCGATGAGGAAGTTGTGCTGGTTTTCAACATTATCCTGCCGCTGATGAAATCTCAACTGAACCTCAGCCACGAGCACAGTAAGATGCAACAACTTAACATTCGCAGACAAACCTCTAAATCTGGTTGCTCTATGCGCTGACGGCTTTCTCTTTTGCCAGCTTTAATTGAAAGTCAATGTGGAGCAGATAGCCCCGTCAAAAGATGCCCCATAATCCTCTCCCAGGAAGAGTGTTCGGCAGAGGGGGATGGGGCGGGGTAAGAGGTGATTTCACTTCGACAAGAACTTGTGTCCCACAAAGCTTTATTGTTCCTTTCCACCTTAACGGTGAGTTTACGGAGCCTTCTGAGGTCAAGCTGGTTATCATCCGCAGGGTGGGTCATTGAGGTAAATCCTTTATTAGTCACAGCTCACGAGTTAGATAAGTAGACATGTGGTACACTGTGCATGCTGACTTGTTTACATTGGCTCGGTGTCCTAACCCAACCTCATAGGCATCTTCTCCTTCTTTGTTCAGAATAAACTCATTGGCACGTGATCTAAAGAGGCTGATTTGCTCTGTGACTCAATTGTTAACTCAATCAGAGATATCGATCCGTGGGCTCGGTCGACAGGGATCAATCGGTCTGATAGCTTGGGGTCATCGGTTTCCCCCTACAATCACACAACACTGCAGCACCGCATCAGGACTAACAGCTAACATTACGCAATGCAAGTCAAACAAATGTTCTGTCATCATTTGATGAGGTGATAAGTGACTATTGAGTGAAGGAGGAATGGCATGTGATTGTTTCAGTGATGATCCACACCCTGGAGTATGCAGAGGGATTTAAACTACTGGTCGACCGAACAGCTGATGTGATCATGTGATGAAAACATAAAGCTCATATCATTTCTATGGGTCCAACAGCTTCGGATGAATTCCGATATGACGGTGATGTAAGGCCGAGATAGCTCTGACAACGTGTAAGTGTGTCTGTGCTGAAGGACTTTTCTAGGGCTGCTGACGATAAAGAAGGACAAAGTCTCCCTGTCATGTGTTTCACTGTGTTTGTGTGTGTGTGAGTGTGAGAGTGAATAAGGGAATAAGACAGAGAGCAGGCCTGTTTGCATCAGGACGGTGGACAAACATGGCTCGTTTTACTTACGTCACAGGCAAGTGGCTGTAAAAGCGTGTAAATGTGGATTACATCATGCGGTCACAGTCTATCCACAGAGAGCCTGTTATCAGCACAGCACAGGCACGAATGTGCTCTCAATGCAAATAGCGTGTCCTCACAGCCCTCTGTTAACCTGTCTGCACCTCTGCAGTAATGAATGATTACTGAGAGGTGCTTCGACGGGTTTGCAAAGTGCTCCCAGTCAAACGGACAGTTTCTCTCTCTTTGATCAGAGCCTTAACAGTTTGAGGGAACAGAACCCAATCTAAAGTAAATGTATCCTTTTTTATTTTGCAGAAGAAAGTTAACTCCAACATGAGCAACACCAACAATGAATGTATTCTACTAACAACTACTATGTGTGTATCCAAAGGTTTCACATATTCTTGTGTGACTCTGCAGTCATTTTGACTGGGTTAATATGCTCATTTACATTTTTAAATGTCCCTAAAGTTCCTCTTAGTCATTTGAAGGGAACAAAAGAAGCAGTCACACCTTGGGCCAAATGGTAAAAAAGATGCATTGTTTTTCTTAAGTTCCTGCACAAGGATCCCTACGCACCACACGCCTGCTTATCATCTTTGTAGGTCAAAGGTGACGGCGCTGACGCTACTGTCTGGTATGAATGAGGACTGTTTTGCATTTCCTTCCCCTCACTATCAGACTTTAGAAGACTTTAAGTGCTTCTCTGTCCTGTTGATAAAGACAACACAGCGAATCTTATCAGCGTGTCACACATTTCATATAAAAAGGGATTGTCTGGTGGTGCTGCGTTCAGAGGGCATAAATTCACCAGATGCCAGCATCCTGTTCGACAGAGACCCAAATGGCCTCTGTAACAGTAAGTTGAAAGGAATGCTTGGTATGCGAGGCACAGTTGTAGAAGCCCTGACGATTGTTTATTCGCTGGTACACAAACCTCCACTCCACACACAACAGGCCTTTCTTGGGAGACAGGTTTTAAGGAAAAAGGTAACAACACGGCTCATCAACCCAGCCTTTGTTTGGCAAATAAATACTTTCTATAAGTACATTTATTAAGTACATTAACTAAGTAAATCATAAACATAATTATTTTATAAAATCTGTTTAGTAAATAACAACACATTTGTATAATGTGTTCCCACAAACATATTATAAAAGATTTAAAGTCTTGAATTTATTGTATGTCTTTCAGTGACTGAATGGGTAAAATAACTTCTACAGTTCAGACAGTTTAAAGTTTTACAGTTTAAATTAATATATTTTTTTATGAAGTATTCTTACTTTTCTCTATTTAATGTTTAGCTTTTATTCCATTCATTCATCCGTTCATTTCACAACAAAATGAGAAAGATTTGTAATTCTATTGTTGATGTAAACTTTATATATTTAAGCTATATTAAGTTATTGTTTTATAATAAAGAGGTTCACCTGTAGTACACTCACCTGAACTCACCTGAACGCAGCGCCACATCCAAACACCGGTAAATCTATTTCTCCTATTTCTATGCTCAAAAACGACTCGGATCCTTTCGCGCATGCGTAGATTCTAAAATACGATTTGCACAACGGTCTGACATCAAAGATGGCGGGAGCCTCCGACCCACTGGAGGACATGCTCTTCACTGAGGTGGACGAGAAGGCGGTTAGTGACCTAGTCGGCTCTCTGGAGTCGCAGATGGGAGACAGAAAAGCTTCTCCCGCCGCTTCTTATTCCGGCAGGTAACCGGATGGAGCTCCACGTGCAGCAGCGGCTCAGTTCTCAGGGATAGTGCTCGAGGATCCAGTGAGGTCCGTGGAGCCGCAACAAGGACGTCCGAGAGAGGGGTTAGACCAGGACCCAGGAGCTACAGAGCTGCTCTCCGGTAAAGTCCTCCTCTCCTCCTCCGGGTCCTCCCCAGTAACCTCCGGAGCGACCCCCCCACTATCTCCCCTGTACCGGGACCCGTAACTTTGACCACTCGGTCCTCCGCAGCTGCGGTTCGAGTCCCGCTACCGTCACCGCTGTGGATGCGATCCGGACCGCTTCTCCCGGACTACAAAGTTTGAACGGATCGATAAAGTTGGTGAACTCGGTCCCTGCAGCAGCAGCACCGGGGACCAGCACGGTGATCAGCACCGTGAGTACCGCGGGCTCCACAATCATCGCCTCTCAGCCTCACTTCACTCAGACCAAGTTAACGTCTCCCATCGTCTCTCTGCAGAGACACCCGGGTCCGGTGAACGGAGTGGACCCCAAGGGCCCTCAGGTGGTGACCCACAGCGGCCCTCTGATGCACACCACCACCACCACCAAGATGCTGGTGCAGAGCCAGCCGGTCTCTGGGAGCTCCGTCATCCTGACCGGGACCCCCCCTCCTGCAGCCCAGACCGGGACCAGTACGGCTGCAGAGGTGGTGAACGGAGTGGGTCAGCCCTCCGTGTCCGTGGTGAGGCCCCCAGGGGCCCCCGTGGTGACCACGTCCATCCAGCAGCAGCAGAGACCTGGACTAGTGGCCCCCCGAGCTGCTGAGACGGGTCAGCTGGTGATGGTCCCTCAGCAGGTTCTGGCTCTGGCTAAGACCCAGCAGAGCCAAGCGGTGGCCAACATCAGCCAGAGACCCGCCGCACCGACCGCTGGGACCGCCATCCGGGTTACCCCACGGTAAGAACCCATCAGGGTCAATGGTGTTCATCCAGTCTGCAGCATCACTAACACCTGAGACACACCTGAGACACAACGACAACACAAACACACCTGAAACACACACAA